GGGGGGATGGATGTGACAACCCACCAGTGGTCCCGCCTGCCCCAAACGATTCTATGAGCCGCCTCTCCCCTGGTACCCCCTCGCTCCCAGCACGCCCGTTTGGCCTCATCGCAGGAGCAGCAGCCCCGCTCCCCTTGCAGATCCGGTTTCCATCCCTTCCGCGCCCGAGACGTGCAAGTCATCCGCGGAGAGTTTTACGAGCTGCAAGTAAGTCAGTCCATGTGCTGGCTCCAGCGTGGCAGGGGCACCGCACCATTTCAGAGAGCACGTGACCCTCCCCGCCCGCGCTGCCGTTCTTCAGAAGGGTCGCTTTAGCTCGCTTTAACGTGCTCTGTTGGGGCCAGTGAGCTGGGAAATAACTCCGGTGCAGCTACGGGGGTGGGACCGCTCTGGAATGGTCCCACAGCCAGGCTGTAGGTAATCCTGCCTACATACACTCAGGCCTGCCTGCTCCATTGGCCCATAGACACGTGTACAATGCCATCACCGTGGCATCTGGCCGTATTATCTATCCCCTGCTGTAGCAAACAGACGGAGAGGACTTTGGCAAGTTATTCCTTGGAGCTGTCTGCCTTGTGTTTGAGACTGTAAATGCACTTGGGCAGGGACTTTCTTCTATTTGATGTGTGCGTACAGCGCCTGACGCAACAGGGCGGGTTCCAGCCCTCGGGGCGGGGGGAGAGCCTGGTCCTACTAGAATACAAATAGAATGAAGGGAAGTAACTTTCCTGGCTCAGGCCAGGAGTGAAAACGAATCTGGTGGCTCTTCCAGGCGTCGCCGATCATGTCAAGAAGCCGGCACACGCTTTGGCACAACTGACGCACTCTAAATAGACGTGTCCTAGGGAAGGTGATGGGGGCACAGCTGTGTTTGTGTAAGAAAATGTCCCCCTCCACTCCAAAGCATCCCCTCCAGCATCACGCATGCTGCCTGACCCCCTAGCACGTCCCTCTCCACAAATCAGAGCTCTTGACTGGAAAAGCGGCGCACCAGCAAGGACGGTGCACTTCAAGCCGCACAGCTTGGCTGGACGGTTTGCCTCGCCCGGGGCTGCGCTGGAAACAATGTGAGACAGAGCTGTGCTGCCAGCCACTGTCCCCATTCTGGGCGCTGAAATCCTACCAGGAGCTCAGGGCAGCGGAGGGAAAAGCCTGGCGTCTTCCTAAATTGAGAGGGTTGTTGCTGGGGACTCTGGAAGGGCACCTCTCCAATCCCCCAGACCAAGGGGGTGAAATAGGTTTCTCTGACGGTGGGTATGGCGTCACCTGTTTAGAATCCCCCCTTCAGCGGCTGGCCACCATTGCAGGCTGGGGGGCTGGAACAATTTTTATACTGGGGGGGCTGCTAATGGAAACCAGATTTTTGGAATTTTGTTTTTTTGCCACCTGAAGCCCAGGGATGGGGCAGTGCCCCCAGCACCCCTAGTTCCAGCACCACCGATTGCAGGGCAGAGGTAGGGTCACCGCCAGCATGGTGACCCCTCCTTATTTAGCATTCCCTAGAGCTGCGTAGGTGTGAAAAACATGGCGTAGAAGAGACAGGCACGCAGGGATGCTGTCTAAGGGCCTCCGGGGTAGGAGTTATTCCAGATTTACAGCAAAGGGAGGGGAGAATCATGCCCCCATGTAGGTAATGAGGGGGTGAAATGGGCATAGGGGAAGGGCGAGGGTTAAACAGAATGATGTAATTAAAAACAGAAAGAGTCAAGGATTGAAGACACTGGTATCCCCTTCACAGCCACGTTAGAGCTCCCTGCATCATCCCTTCTAATCCCCCAGTCCTCTGAGCAGAGAGGTATGCACAGAAGGGCGGAGGTGTCTCTCTGCCCCGTCCCCAGAGTGCCACCTCCCACTGCTGGGCCAGGTTAGCCAAGCAAGCACTATCCTTTGCAAGGCTGCGGAAAGCACCACTGGGAGCAAGAGCCGAGCCGGGGTGCGACTGAGATTCAGCTGCAATTTGTGCCCGCGCTGCCTCTGGCGGTGGCGCAGCGACGCACCACCTCCTCAGCCGGGCTGAGAGACCAGCCTCCACCTAGCCCTCTGCATCTGCACGGCAGGCAGGGCAGCGGGCCTCCTGGCCCAGAGAGCGGGAAGATGCAAGCGCTGCATCGAGCGAAACGTGCGTGCAAAGCACCAGGCAATCCGGGAGTCCGGTTTCATGGTTCACGCCGGGGTAGACGGCACAAAGAGGGAAACTAAATTAGCCTTTTAAAATCATTGCAAGCTCAGTAATCTCAGGTGCTACGTCGGTATTGCGCAGAAGGTTTGTCTTGTAACACGGAACATGCTTATAGGCTCTTTAGCCATATGGCGTCCATTTAAACTCCTAACAGGGGAGCAGTAATTGGCCCAAACAGCAAAACATATTCCACATAAAACACGCACGCTATGGGAGCCCATCTGGACACAGCCTGGCATATCACCA